GCGAAGCGAGGCACCAAGGACCACGCCACTGCACTGCCATCGCGCATCGCGGCGGCGTGATGGAGGGAAGGCGCTCCGAGGCGCTCCGAGGTGTGCGCGTCGCTCAGGCTGTTCCGGCCCGGCCAATCTCGGCGTCTATTTGCAAGGCGGAGTGCATCGCCGCCAACAAAAACGAATGGCCGAGACAATAAACGGGCCAAATAAAGGAAAGGAGCGGGGCGGGGTGGGGCGGGGCGCGGAGAGCGGCTTGCAGTGGCGCGACGGACGCACTCGCTTCGCCGCGATGCACCCGCGCACCAACTGAAAACGCGAACGCCGGAATATTTTGGCGCGCGTCTTCGACTGACTTCCGCGACGAATGAAATCCGCGAGGTTGGCTTGCCCCCCCCTGCCCCTGCCGCCGCTCCAGCCGCTGCTGCCTTTTGCCGTGCCCCTGCTCTCACGCAAATCACCTCTCCCCGAAAAAGTCCCCCGAGTCCGCGCGCCCTCTACCGGCACCGCCGAGCTGCGCCGAGCTGCGCCGAGCGGCAGCGCTGCCGTACGAGGAAACTCTGCTTTTCCTCGTCCTTTGGTCTCTGACCGAGCTCCGACTGGCTCCGACTCTCTGACGAGACCGAGACCGCCCGACTGCCCTGCCGGGCATGGCGTGGCTGGGCATGGCGGTTCCGTATTCGCCGTCCCCGCCTGGAGAGGTGGACCGTCCGCCCGGTCGGCCCGGCGATCCCGCGCCGCGTTTTGTCTCTCTCTCTCTCTCTCTCTCTCTCTCTCTCTCTCTTGGGACACGGGGTAAAAATGGGACAGCATATTCCAAGGGGTACCCGACTCAAGATAATCATTGCGCGTCTAGTTGGTAACCAGTGAAATAATCAACATCATCCAATGAAATGACAATCATACTTTCGGGGATTCAATCACTTTTGACCATTTTTGCGAGACCACTGCTCCCAAACTATCAGCGGTCAAAGCCTTCCCGAGGCGGGGCATGAAAGAGTAGGGTCTTCAGAATAGTAAGGCGTCGAGGGAGGCCTTTGACCGCAACTAAATTGGATGCAGTGACAGCTCAAAGTCAGCAAAAACCATGATTTTCTGAAATTCATTTACTTTTTGACCATTTTTGCGAGACCACTGCTCCCAAACTATCAGCGGTCAAAGCCTTCCCGAGGCGGGGCATGAAAGAGTAGGGTCTTCAGAATAGTAAGGCGCGAGGGAGGCCTTTGACCGCAACTAAATTGGATGCAGTGACCGCTTAAAGTAAGCAAAAACGGTATTTTCTGAATTCTTCACTGTTTGACTATTTTTGCGAGACCACTGCTCCCAAACTATCAGCGGTCAAAGCTTCCCGAGGCGGGGCATGAAAGAGTAGGGTCTTCAGAATAGTAAGGCGTTGAGGGAGGCCTTTGACCGAAACAATGGATGCAGTGACAGCTCAAGTCAGCAAAAACGGTGATTTTCTGAATTCATTACTTTTTGACCATTTTTGCGAGACCACTGCTCCCAAACTATCAGCGGTCAAAGCCTTCCCGAGGCGGGGCATGAAAGAGTGGTCTGAATAGAAAGGCGTCGAGGGGGGCCCTTTGACCGCACTAAATTGGATGCTTTGACAGCTCAAAGTCAGCAAAAACCATGATTTTCTGAAATTCATTAACTTTTTGACCATTTTTGCGAGACCACTGCTCCCAAACTATCAGGGGTCAAAGCCTTCCGGGGCTGGGCATGAAGAGTAGGGTCTTCAGATAGTACGTCGAGGGAGGCCTTTGACCGCAACTAAATTGGATGCAGTGACCGCTTAAAGTAGAAAACGTAATTTTCTGAAATTCATTCACTGTTTGACTATTTTTGCGAGACCACTGCTCCCAAACTACAGCGGTCAAGCTTTCCCCGAGGCGGGGCATGAAAGAGTAGGGTCCAGAATAGTGGCGTTGAGGGAGGCTTTACCGAAACTAAATTGGATGCAGTGACAGCTCAAATCAGCAAAAACGGTGATTTTCTGAAATTCATTAACTTTTTGACCATTTTTGCGAGACCACTGCTCCCAAACTATCAGCGGTCAAAGCCTTCCCGAGGCGGGGCATGAAAGAGTACGGTCTTTAGAATAGCAAGGCGTCGAGGGAGGCCTTTGACCGCAACTAAATTGGATGCAGTGACAGCTCAAAGTCAGCAAAAACGGTGATTTTCTGAAATTCATTTACTTTTTGACCATTTTTGCGAGACCACTGCTCCCAAACTATCAGCGGTCAAAGCCTTCCCGAGGCGGGGCATGAAAGAGTAGGGTCTTTTTAAGCACCTTTTTTTGGTGGGGGAGGGGGGTAATTAGGAACGTAGGATTTAGAATTGTTTGCCCCCCCTGAGGAAATACACTTCCGGCGCCCCTGCCCGAGTGGGTGTGAGAGGGAGAAACAGGACGCAAATGTTCGGAACCACGCTGCAGCAGCCTTCCTTCTCCTCCTCGGAGCGCGCGCGCGCATGGCCCGCTGCTAGGACGCGTTGCTGCACTTTTCGGCCGTGTTGCAGTTGTGTCCGTCGCCGAAGCCCGCCATGCAGATGGAACGGGGGAAGCCATGGGTCTGCCGGGCCGGGTCGGGCGGGGTGGGGCGGGGTGGGGGGCACCGAGCGAGTACGGTGAGTACACCGCACGGCAACACAGGAAACGGGCGGGGCGGCCTGGCCAGGGTGGACACACACACACGCGCCCATCTACACCCACACACACAAACTGAGACACGCACACACACACACACACACACACATTCTACTCTATATATTGTACAGCTACATATATGTATATTCGCAAATGGCGGGCGCTCAATGTGAAAATGACGATAAGCGTGCCTCTGGCGCGTCGTGTGGCGTGGCCAAAAGTTTGTCCGGCAGATGCTGCTTGGGATCGGGGAGCGTGGAGTGGGTGGGCTATCTAGTCGGCAAAGCGGGGGCCGATAGCGAGGCTCGTATAGCGAGGCGTCCGAAACACCAAGTGACATGCGAGCGTTGATGTAGTGTGCTGCCCGTCGTCCTGCGCTCGGCAGGCGGGCGGGCCGGGCGGGCCTAAGGCGGGCCGGGTTGGCCGAGGGCAGTGTGCGGCAGTGTGCTGCTCATGGGGAGACGAGAGGGAAGGGGCCCGCCTGTCTGCCCGCCTGTCTGCCTGCCCGTCTGCCCGTCCTTCTTTCGGCCGCCTGCACTCGCCGCTGCACTCGCCTGGAATGCAATTAGCGGTTATTATTCTTCTCATCCTGATTGTATTTTTCGCGTCCGGCAGAAGTAGCAGCCGTGGCCGAAAAGGAAGAAGAGGAAGAAGGCAAACACACCGTTCCGCGTTCCGCCAACGGCCGCGAGGACCTAGCAGCAGCTGCCGAGCCCCGTCTGTCTCGTGTCGTCGGTTGTCCGTTTCGCCACCACGTTTGGGGCACTGCTCAGCTGCGAGTGACCTGCGAATAACCTCCGTCACTGAAAAATGATCGTCCCTGTCAGTAGAGGGAAGACCGGGGACCGGCGAGCGAGGCCGCGGGCGTGGCGCGGCGTGGCGTGGCGCGGCGTGGCGTGGCTCGCTGCATTTTGGCAGGACCTTGGGCCCCGCCCCGTCCCGTCCCGTCCCGCCCAGCCCGTCCCGACTGCAGTTTTGTCGTTCCGGTCCTGCTCGGCCTTGAGACGTTGCGCCCCGCACTGCAGGCCGCTGCAGGCCAGGCCGGCCACACACCAAAAACAAAAAACAAAAGACGCGCAAAAATTGCAATGCAGCGCGCGCAGCCCGGCCGAGTGCAAGGGCGGGGAAAGGGGGGCAATGGAGGGAGGGGGAGGGAGGGCATAACCGCGGCTAGGAATGAGGCACGTTTGGCATCGAATGCAGGATCCAATATGCCGGCCTTTCATTAATCTCCTCGCACGATGCACATGCAGGCCGATGCAGGCGATGCAGGCCGTCCGGCAGATGGAAGCACGCTGGAAGCTGGAAGCTGCGTGGTGATGAGCGCGCCCTGCCAGGCCCTGCCAGGCCTTGCCAGGAAGTGCAGTATTTCGGCGCGATGTTGGTAATCGTGATGGCGATGGGCCGATAGCCCGGCTCGGCTCGGCTCGACCCGGCTAGGCCCGGCCCGGCTCGGCTCGGCTCGGCTCGCTGGTCGGATCGAATTGGCGCTGCACGTGACTTGACTGGGCGTAGTGGTGTGGCCTGTACAGTGTACGGTCGGTAACCCTAGGGGCCTAGGGGCAAGGCGTCCTGTACCCGACCTGCCTCACCCCGTCCCCCGCGTCCCAATGTCCCGCGCGTCCGCCCCCCGCCCCCCTTCCCCTCCCGCCGCCGACGCGTAGCGTCCTGAGCCGGGCCTAAAGCCTGCAGCCAGCGCAGCCAGCGTCCCGTCCCGGCCAGAGTGCACCAGGGGCCTTGGCTTGGTGCAGTCTGCCCCCCCCCCCTCCCCCTTTCCCCCCGGCCCCAAGCCCGACACGCCAGCCCAAATGAATTGGCGGGGAGCGTCCGTCCGTGCCCGATGCAGTCCGCAGCCGAACACGAGCCAGGGCCCGGCCTGGTCTTTGAGACGGGCTGTCAGAGTGGAAGGCGTTTTCGGCGCCGTCGAATGCAGGGCACTCCGCGAAGGTAGGGTAGGTTCGGGCAGCGTTATCGCGATGGCGTCTAATCAAATCTAGCGTCATGGCTGCAGAGCCATGCTGCGGGGGAGATACCGGGCCTCGATAAACGAAAAACAAAACAGGAAAAGAGGGGAGACGTCGAGTGCAATCCCCTTCCCAACAACCGGTTCCGCCCGGGCGGGCGCGGCGCGGCCACTGACATGCACTGGGCCTGCACTGGGCCGGGCCTGACCTACGTCACTCCAAAACGCCGAAAACCGCCAGGGTCTCTCTCATGGCCAGGCTTGGCCGGCCTTAGCCTTCGTGATGGGGGGGCGTCGCTGGGTGCGTTGTACCGTGAAGGCTTTGTGCTGACCCGTGTTGGCTCCTCGGATGTAACAAATGTGAGAGTGGGGATCACGCAATGTCATGAAAACGCGTACTGATTTCAGGAGACATTGTTTATTTAAAAATCGATACTTGTAAATTAAACTTAATAGAACGTACACATAGTAACCTTTCATGAAAAGGTGCCTCAAGGAACAGGTTTTAAAGCGTGACCATTTTTTTTCGCACCCCGCTCGCGTTCTCCTTGCATTTGTCTTCGAGCTTAATAAGACTGATGCAAGGGGGCCACACATCGAATGTGGCCACAAACATAAACAAAATAAAAACATAACTTCATTTTCAAGAAATCCATCCATGTATATAATTTCTATTAAAAATAAACAAAACATTAAACGATAAACGAGATAAACATGTACGTAGTCTTAGACTTAGTCTGTAAAATGAACACAAAATGTTTGATTGTTAGTCTGTAGTACTCAGTAAACATAAAAGTAAAACAAAACTAAAATTATTACAGACTATGTTGTTATTTTATGTCTAGAAATTGTATTTCTTACCGATGACGGAATCCTGATAGTTTCTATTTTAACAATGATGCATAAAATTAAATACACTTAATATAAAAAAGGTACAAAAAATAGCAAAAAGTAAAGTATGCATTATGTTCTGTAGGGAGCAGATAACTTTAAACACATGAGCAGACACGGTTAAGTGAAATAAACCGAACAAAAACCTGTACAAAACTTGCATGAACGTGTAGTAAATGTACAAAATAACAACTTAAACCTTCTTGTACATGTCGTTGTATGCCCTACCGCACATATACTAGGACAAGGTGCACTAGACTGTCTATGGTACTGAAAATGGCAATTGTAAGTTTACCTGTCTACAAATGACTGAAATCACATTCTATCGATAGGATTTCTACTGATTAACTACAGTAATGAGCTGTAAATGCAATGTTTATTGAGAAACCTTTAAAAACTTTTGTACAATGGTGTATCTAAGTCTTCATGAAGCTACTTTGTTGTAATTAAACTGTGGGGAAGTCCATTACGAAAATCGAGCTGGTATAATTGCAGTGTCCTGGGCGAGCATGAATTATTGCCAAATCAAACCTGAACAGTGTTAAAGTATTATTTGAATGGTATTAACAAGGCTTGAACCATGACTGCTAGGGGACACAAACAAAAACAAACAATACTTATTATTCATTGCAAGTTTACAAAAGAAATGAGATAAAATTGTTTCAAGGTAACCATTGATCATCATTGTTTTCCTTAGCTCCTTTCGCAAATGCACACAATAGTTAACTTTCTCTATTTAACAGAGAAAACATATCACAAAGTAACAATACGATTGCAATTTCTTATGTAACGTGGAATCGCAAGCATTATATTGCATTGGAAACTAAGGAAAAACACAACTAATTATAACAAAGAATGCAAATTGTATAAAATAATGAACATTCGCAAAACAATTGTCTAGCCATCATGCAGATGGAAATAACCAACACATTAGCGAGACTGCCATCGTATAATAAGTAAAGGTCATACCCCTTTTGAACAACTGGTACGGTACAGTCCCTTTGAGACTTCTCATCACACACACACACACACACACACACAACTTGCGCACGAGGATTGGCGCGTGCGTACGTGCGCCCACGCCACGGCCCGGTCGCACGCACGCGAGCGCCTACCCTGTTAAAAACAAAACACACTCACACTATCTGTATCAGGATGGTTGGGGTGCGTTGGTACTCTTTGAGCCGCACTTGCGTATACATGCCACAGTGGACAGTAATTTACTAATGCCAACTGGAATGAGTCACTGCGGGTCGGGCGAGTTCCGTTCAGGTAATGACAGTTTGCTACGGTTTCACGGAGGAATGACGTATAGTTAGACGTTTGGGAATCGGAGGAATCGAGGGAACGCTGAGGAATCGGCGGGTTGGAGTGGAGACTGAAGGTCGGGAGAGATGCAACTACTGAGCCCAGGGAATGTTTAACTGCAGTGGTTTTGTACTGAGCTATTTTGTTATGTGGCAAATCATTTCTAATTGCACTTCAGGTGTCATCGATGATCAAACAAAAAGCGTCGAATGATCTCTCTTGACGTAAACTATCCTAGTATAAGATATTAAAGAAAATATACATTCAAAATTTGGCATCATCACAGATAGTCACATCCTTGGAGCGTCCCAAGATTACGAAAAACTTACTTTTAAATTAAGCATTTTCTCAATTACTTTAATATTTTGAAAGTTAAAATTTCACAGTCAAAGGAAGGTACTTCATAATATAATATACTCTTATATATTTTATATATTTTAACACCAAATAATCAAAACGCTATTATACAATAAGCTTTAAGAAGTATTCCTCTTCATGGCATGTAAGACAATAAAGGGTGTATCATAGTGTGAACACATTTAAAAATAGGAAACAATGTAAAAATGTATGGTTTGTTCAAATTTCTCTGTAATCTTTTAAAAATCTTGGGATATTCCTACAAACACGAAGACATTCATTAGAGTACTAACTTGCACTTGAATGGTCGCATCATAATTATCAAGCTTGCCAAAATTAAAACAAATAGATACATTTCTTTTTAAGTTGGATCATGCAACTTTTATAGATATAACATGGTCGTTTTGCAAAAGCGATATTTTGAAATTTTTAAATAAATTTGACTTTAAGAACTTTGGAATAATCACATTTGTTGAATATATAAGATCAAAATAGACGATTTGGAGGAAACTTTGATATGCAGCGTGGAAAAAGTGACTGAGACTAGTTCGTTTTTCTTAAGTGAATGAAATAGAAATTTCAATAGTTTTCCTTCCCTTTCTCTGAGAGATGGGGGTCCAAAGGACTGGAAAACAACACCACAAATTAAAACCATACAAATACTTACAAAAAATAATCAGTACAGTCAGGTGGCTTGAAACACGCTCACCGTGAACCACTTCACTGATTCCCTCTTTTGAGTAAGAAACGAAAACAAACAACTCTAGAAATGTATAACAAAAGTATTCCTTCCTAAAAAATTTCTACGAACAATCAGTCTCCTCAGGAAATGTCTTGAGTTTTGGTATCCTCCCGCCCTTGGTCCTCGCTCGAGTCTTTGGCTCCGTCTCCGTCAGGTCCAGCCCCACTCGCTGCTCTCGACTCCACTCTAAGTTTACTATCACAGGCACTTTTCACGAGTCCAGACAAGTCTTCGCTCCTCGCCGTCGGCGCCACCGTCGCGTTCGCGGCCTCTAGTCCGTTGATGGCGCCGAGGCGGGCGTCGAGGGCGGGCCGTATGGCCACAGGCACTGCAGCCACTGCGGGCACACTGCCGGCGAGTCGCTCGCTCCGTTCGCTGTCCTGCGTGGGGGAATGGTTCAAATGGAATGGCTTGGCGTTGTTTGTGGCTTGACTTGGCGGTCTGGGTAACCGATCGTCCTCCTCGCGGTCGCCGTCACCGTCACCGTCCTCCGAGAGTTCGTAGTGCGAGTTCTTCTCCTCGCGGTCCGCCACCGACCCGTCCGACGACGGCGACAGGTGCACCACGTTGCTGCGCAGCAGCGACAGCGGCGGCCTCCGCACTTCGTCGTCCTCGGAGCTGCTCGACGTCCGCTGCCGCATCCGCGAGGCGTCCAGGTGGCCGTCGAGGCGGCCGTCCAAGCGGCCGTCCAGGCGGCTGCGGCACAGCTGGTCTAGTAAGGCGTTGTTGGCCATCTTCTCGAGGGCTTCCTTGGGCGGCCGGGAGAGGCCCTTCTCCAGGCCGTACCGGATGATGCCGTCCAGCAGGGTGTTGTTGTCGCTGGAGCTGTCGTCCATGGCGTCCTCCACGTCGCGGCCCCGCTTGAGGCCGAGCGCCAGCGCTGCGGCCTTGCTGGACACGGGACTGCCGTCCGGCGTGGCGCCCAGCCCCACCCCCGGCCTCAGACCAGCTTCAGACCCGGGGCCGGGGCCAGGGCCCGGGCCGGGAGGGCCCCCCGCTGAACCTGGCACCCCCGGCGGCGGGGGCCCTGATGCCGAGCTGTTCCGGCTGTTCTCCTGGGCCTCCTGTAGCCTCTGGATCATCTGCGTGGTGAAGAGCTGCTTGGTGTTGGAGTTGAAGGGCGTCTGGCCGCTGAAGTCCAGCGGCAGCGGCGCGTAGCCAGGGCCCCAGAAGGGGAAGGGAGGGATGCCGCCGTAGCCCAGCGGCATGCCGGCGGGGTCGAACCTGGCCTTGAGGCCGTTCTGCGGCGCCGCGAGGGGCGGCTGGATGAAGGGCTTGGGCTTGCTGGTGCCGGGCAGCCCCGAGGGCAGTCCCGAGGGCAGCCCCGACATCCCCGGCAGGCTGGGCATCTTGTCGCCCGGCGACAGCCTCAGCACGTTCCCGACGCCGACCGCGTCCTGCTTCGGCTTGTCGTCGGCGGGCTGCTGTGGCTTGGGGTCCCGCTTCCTCGGCCTCATCAAGTGCCTCTCCTTGACCTTGTACTCGAGCGTGGAGTGCGGCACGCCGTAGAAGGAGCCCGCGCGGTGCACGCTCATCTCGCCGCGCTGCACCGCCTTGACGGCCTCGTTGAGCGCGTCGCGGTCGTAGTTTCGGTACTTGCCGCGCTTGGGCCGGGTGCCCTTGCCGCTGGCCTGCGACGACGAGCTGCTGCTGGTGCTCGTCGTGGTCGTGGCGGCCCGGGTGGCGGCCTGCTGCATGCTCTTGATGACGGACTCGGCCATGGCGTGGTGCGCCGCCGAGCTGCCGTAGTGAGGCCGCTTCAGGTCGAAGATGGGTGAGATGGGGCCGAGTCGGCTGAGGTGGGGGAACTTGGCCGCCAGCGCCTTGTTGGCCAGGATCTGCGCGGGGCTGGGCGGACTGACGGCGGGTGCGGGCGCGCCGGGACTCGACGCGGCGCCGTGCTCGGAGTGCTGACTAGACTCTCCGCTGCCGCCGCACCGGGAGAACAGGCCGGCGTCGCCGCCGCCGTTCTTGGAGGTGGGTTTGAAGGACGGAATCTTGAGGATGACGTTGGCCGGCGAGGTGGGCCGGTCGTCGTCGGCCTCCGACCTGGACAGTGAGGGTGACGCCGTGCTCCGCTTGTCGTCGTCGCGGCCGTCGCGGCCGTCACGGCCGTCGCCGTTGTGGAAGGGTTGGCCCTGCGCCCGCTCCTCGGCCATCATGCGGTACAGGAAGTCGGGCAGGAGCGGTGACGCGAACTTGGGCAGGAAGTCGGCGCCCTCGGCGCTGGGGCTTTCGCCGCCGCTGCCCGGCGTGGTGGGTCCGAGGCCGGGGCTGGAGCCGGACACGTTGCGGGCCAGCAGGGACTGCTGCGCGCCGAGGAGCTTGGAGATGTACGGCGCCAGCGCGTGGTAGTCCAGCCCCGCCATACCCCACTGGTCCGCCCCGGGGAAGGCGGGCAGCCCGGACGGTGGCGGCGACGCTCCCTCCTCGCTCTCCTCGCCCGCACTGCCGCCCGCGCGCCGCGCCCGCATCCCGTGCTGCAGCAGCAGCCGCAGCGACTCAGGCCCCAGCCCCGCCGGGCCGTCCAGCGGGGACTTGGACATCTTCTCGGCCAGGTCGTCCTCGCCGCCGGACAGCGCGCCGTCGTCGTCCTCGGTGGGCAGGGCCAGCGAGCTGAGCGAGAGCCGCGTGGGGTCGGCGCCCGCCATGACTAGGCTGGCGGGGTCGCACTTGCGCTCCATGGTCAGCTTGTAGACCTTGTTGCGCAGCGTGGACCGCGGGATGCCATAGATGACGGCGGCCCGCCGCGTCCCCAGCTTGCCGCTCTGGATGTCCCGCAGCGCGGCCTGCAGCTCGTCCTCGGTGTAGGTCCGCCGGTGCGTCAGCGCCGTGTTCGGCCGCGGCCGCGCCCTGCGAACAAGCAAGCGCGTCAGACACTCGTCCTCGTCGACCTGGACTCGGGTGCTTACTGATCCAAAGGAAGCGGGAGGAGGAAATGCCTCACTTGTCCCAAATTTTAATATCTATGTTAGTACTTCACAGGACTTTCAAGCATAAGCACACATCTCAACTTATGTATTTATGAAAACTTAAGTCGAGTGACAAAAATGGCGAGTACTCACTTGAAAATGTTCCTGCTGTCGGGCACCTTGAGGGAGTCCCGCAGCGAGTCGCTCTCGATGGCGAGCGCCGCCAGGGCCGCGGCCTTGGCGCTCAGGTCCAGCGGCATGGGCATGTCGATGGGGCTGGCGCCGCCCGCGCCGCTAGCAGCGCTGGGCGAGCAGGTGCCGGGCGAGGACGCCGTCGGAGGGAAGGCCGAGGGGCTGGCGCCGACGCTCGGACTGCCGGACCCGGGGCCCGGGGAACTCGTGTCCAGCGGCGTGCTCCGGTTGGAGTCCTGCTGCTGCTGTTGCTGCTGCTGTTGCTGCTGCTGCGCCGCCGCCGCCACTGCCGCCACTGCGGCCGCGTGCGGCGACGAGAGGTACCTGCAGACAGAGGGCCCGGACGGGCAGGGCGCGGTCAGCAAGGTTTTGTGGTGGTTGTTTTAAGGCGAGTGGGGAGCGAGGGTCCGAGCGCCTGGGAGGTAGGCAACATAGGCGTGCAACGCACGGCTGTCGGCGTGCTGCCTACTTCACAGGCGGTCTTGGCCCGGCGCCACCCAAAACAACGCCGATGACGGTGTGCCTGATCAGGCGGCACCAGGATGACAACTCGTGGCCACCAACTCGAGGGCACGTCGGCCGCCACCTCGCTTGTTTCCCGGCGCGTCGTGCGCGGCGAACGACGTGCTTGGAACGCCCCGACAACGTCGCACACATTCTTCAGAATGAAGAGGAGAACCCTCTTTTTTCGCGGTGTGGCGGCGAAAATGCGGAACGGAAAAGCGGAAAACGGAGAATACCTCTGGGAAGGCGCTGCTTGGCGGGCTAATGGTCGGAAATGGGCGGCGCGGCCGAGGCCGCCGAGGCCGCCGTGGCGGACGGCGGCGCGGTGGCTGGACGACCCGTAAACTTGGACGGCTGCATTTAGCATTTATAGCGAATAGTTGGCGGGTAGTGCGGACACATGCGAAGAGTGTCGTGCGCTGTTCGACCGAACGTGCGCGGCACGAGGGGAAAAAAGGAGGGAGGGGAGCACTGGAGGGGAGGGGAGGGGAAAGGAGTGCAACGCGCGCGCATGCGCTGCACCGCCGGGGGAAGGGGACGGGAGGGGAGGGGTGGTCGGCGAGAATTTTTGTGCGAATATAAGTGAAAGATGGCCACTAGAGCCGCGCTGCTCCGCGGAGGGGCTCCGCGGCTGGAGGGGCTTTTAGCAGGCCTGCCTGGAGGGGCCCGGCCGGCGTGGGGACTGCGGCGGACGGGCGGGGTACTCGGATAGGCCTATCATCGCGGCGAATGGATGCAATCGGATCACGGTCGTCAGTGAGGCGAGCGCGCTGCGAATCCACTCCCAATTTGCGGGCCCACTGCTAGAGCCGCGCCGAGGACGAGGACCGGAGAGAAGGAGTTTGAATTCTGTCTCTCGGCCGCGCGCTTTCGGCTCGCAGGGACTGCACGCCGACGTGCCGACGTCGCGTCGCCCGCGAGGGGAGTGCACTAGGGACTAGTGCGCGCTGCACTTTTCGCCCCCCGTGGTGGTGCGCCGCAGCCGAGGCGCAGCCGCGCGGCCACATGGTGTAACGTTTTTAATTTGCGCTCTCGCGAGTGCCTGGCTGGCTGGCAGCCTGGCTGCCGGGCTGGCGGGCTGCATAGGGCCTAGACCACCCCGTCGCGTGCTTCGTCCTACTCCGCCGTGCTTCGCGGGGCTCCGCGGCTCCGCACTGCGGTCAGGCTGGGACGCGGCCGCCGCTCGGGCGGGCAAAAAAAACCGACAACACACAAAGTAGGGGGAAATAGCAAATGTGTATACGTCTTTACCCTGCCAGGGGGCGGGCAGGGGCCGGCAAAGCTGGCGAGGGCAAAGCGTCGTGCGGCCGCGCAGGCAGGGCAGTTCGGCCCGCGTCCGCGGACCACGGCGCCGGTTTTGGACCGGCGACGGCAAGGCGCGCCTTGCCGCCAGTTGCCGCCAACGAGCCGACGGTGAGCGAATAATGAAGCGTAATAAAACCACGGCTCGGCGCGTCCTCCGCGGCCTAGCGCGCTGCAGCCGAGGCGCGGCAGGGCGGCAGGGCGGCAGGGCTGCGCGCGGCTTGAGTGCAGAACCCTGTCAGGCGGGAGAACAAAGCACGGAGCTGCAGGCCAGCCGGCCGGGCCGCGCTTGGCCGGGACCGCGCGCGGCAGCGCACCGCAGCGCACCGCACCGCGCCAACTGGATCCTGGAAACGGCGCGGCGCGTCGTCGCCGAGCCAAGTCAGCACCAGAGAGGCCGGGTGGCGGTCCGGTCCGCGGTCCGGTCGGGGCCTCGCGCGCCCCCCAGCCGGGCCCCCACCACGCGCCGACCCCGCCCGGCCCCGCAGCGCCCCGCAGCGCCCCGCCATGGCTACGCAGCGCCGGCGTCGCGGAGAGGGCCAAGTGTCCAGCGTGCGACAATATTAATCATTAGCTGGGGATATGAGAGCCACGGCCGGCGGCTGGGCGAGCTATCGACCCGGCCTTGCAAGAACCGCCATGGCGGCTTGTGGGTCCGCGCCACGCCGCGCCACGCCGCGCCACGCCCTGCTCTAGGGGAAGCCAGGCAAGGGACGACCATTGATCAACGTGTTCTAGGCTGGGCTCCGCTAGACTCCGCCGGGCCTCGCTGGCCTAGGCCGGCCTAGCTCAGAGTCGCCTCCGGTAATACCCACACCACGCCACGCCACGCCACGCCACGCCACGCCACGCCACGCCACGCCACGCCACGCTGCGCCGGAGTGGTGCAGCCCACCGCACCGCGCGTGTGTGGGAGCCTGCGCGCGTGTGTGTGAGTGGGGCGGCGCGCCTAGCCTAGCCCAGCCTAGCCCTGCCACGCCCCTCCATGTCGCTCCCCTCTCTAGTGAGTGGCGCGGGGGCCAGCCTGGCTCTAAGCAGGCAGGGCTGCTCCACTTTGAAGGTACAAAACTATTTTATCTGCACCCCACGGCCCACAGCCCACGCCCCCGGCAAGACCTCCGGCCTGGGGGATCTTCGCTGAGAGTTAAAAGCGGCTGCGTCAACCCCGGCGGCCCGAACGCCGAATGCAGGGAACGGTACTTTCTGGAAGGTGGCGCACTGGCCTAGGGAGTCGACCGCGAAATTAAAAGTCGGTCCCCAGTGAGTCGGAGTGGGGGTGGGGGTGGGGCGGAGAGGACGCGGCGCAGAGAGCTGCGCGCCTTTTTGCTCATCTTGCTTTTAAAGTCTTTCTCTCACACCTGGAACCGAAACAGCGGACGCTGCGTCGCACAGGGCAACGCCGGTACACTGCCTTGACACGCTGCCGTACGATTGAGAAAAAGGAACCCCCCCCAAAAGAAGAACCCGTTCGGTATTTGAACCCTCGTACTCACCATGCGGGCAGCAGCCCGGGGTGGCCCAGCGGGTACAGCCCCGACGCGGCGGTGGGGCTGGCGCTGCTGGTGGAGGTGGCCGTCGGCGTCGAGTTGTTGGCGTGGCCCTGCTTGAAGGCGGCCACGGCGGCGAGGGTCGCCCCCATGGAGGTGACGGCCTCCAGGGTGGTCATGGTGGCCGGCAGGGGCAGCAGCGTGCATGCGCTCCCCTCGCTCGCCACGCTCCCGCTGTCGTCCTCGCTGTCGGACGCGACGCGCTGCTGCACAACCACACACATTACTTTTCCCGCTCAACTTTGGCTTGCGTCAAAGTAGTCATTCGACGGAAAGGGAATATTTCGCTCGGGAAGAGCGGGAAAAGTTGGGGCGTTTCCATATTTCCATCAAAGCAGGACAGGTGATCTTTTTGTTTGGACGTTATCGCCCGCCTCCATACTCGTCACCGCGCGGGGTGGGGCGGGGCGGAGCGAGGCGGGGCGGGGGCCGCGGCAGCGGCCTGACCTCGCCTCCAACAGCCCGACCGCGTATAAAGAAAAGGGAGGGCTAGTGCAATGCATGCATGCAACCTAGTGCGACCAAGTGCAACGGGGTCAGGGCCGAATCCGAAGACGGCGAGTGAGTATTATCGTTAATCGCGCGAAAAACAAAAACAACAAGAAGAAAACGAAACATGGCGCACGTACCGTGCTCGTGTCGAGCGGGTCGTCACAGAAGCAGCACTGCAGGTCTTGGTGGGGCTCGAAGTCTTGCGGTGAGTCTGTCGGCCCCCGGGGCCCCTTCGAGCCTTTCGGGCCTTCGGCAGGGTCCGCAGGGCCGTCGGCGGGACACGCCTTCGAGTCGTGGTCGTCCCAGGTCCCAATGGCTCCCAATTGCCGCCATTTCCGTCTTCCCATCAACTCCTCAGCGACGCGCTCCAAACCTGCAAGAGGAGGGACATGAAGCGGAGACACGCGGAGCCACGCGAGGCGGAGCGTGCGGTGGGAGGGGGAAATCACTCGCGTAATAGTCGGGTCACCGATTCCTAGTATTACGCGTAATAGTAATAGCGTAATAGCCAAATTTTTAAAGATTTTCCCTATTTAGGGTCCGATTTTAGACTAAATCTGGATATTTTCGAGCGTAATAAGCCTTCTGTAATAGCGTAATAGAACGTAATAGGGAGTAGTCGGGTCACAGTTTTTAAGAGTGATTTCCCCCTCGGTGCAGTGGGAGGCAGGGCGGCCACCCTGCCTTGACTACACCCAAAAAATGGCTTTCTCGATCAAGACAAATGAAAAAATAAAGCTTGTCTTGGTTTTCTTTTTCAAGAAAAATTTTTCTTGGATGAAACTTTTTAATCTTGTGTATACAAGTTCTCTAGATCAAGATGTTCTTTTCTTAAAAACAAAAATAGAAAAAAAAAACACACAAGAAAAATATTCAAGAAATCTAATTTTTGGGTGTGGGCGGGTGTAGGCACCTGCTCTGTTTCAGTGTCGACTTCTATTCTACACGCGCTACATGCGCTTTTATATGACATGACATGTAACTTTTTTATTTTTAGTTTGCAGTGATTCATGCACTCTGTCTCATTTTCGTGAGTATGCAGTCACACCGAACACGTTGGCCACAGCGGCAGCCGGACCTGCACACTCACTGAAAAGAGCGGAGCGCGTGAAACAGCCGGCACAACACAACAAACAACAAACTAAGAATAATTCACTGTCCACAGTCCGTCCCCCAGAATAAACAGTTTTCTTTCCTAGACAAATCACCAAGAAATACAGCAAAACAATAAATGAATCATAACGGCATGCAATGACAAAGAAGATCCATTGAGCATAAAAAGAACACGACACCGCCAATAAACAACACCAATACAATGACAAATCAACTGGAGATGGAAATGCATGACATGCCGTCCACGAGGCTTGGACCTCGGTGACGGCACGTCTCATCAACGTCAATCGGATGGGCGGACGGGCCGGGTGGGCCGGACGGCTGGAAGGCCAATCTCACGTTCAAATGGCCGCCGCCCCGCCGCCCCCGCCGCCCCCGCCGCCCCCACCGCCACAGTGCCGCCTGATAGCGCGTCCGAGATAGGCTGATAAGCGGCGCCTGCAGGTAGCATAGGTCATGTTCACGACGACGGTGTCCTCGGCCGGGGGGCCGTCGTCGCCGTGCCCCGCGGCCCGGCCGCCAAACCGCCTGCTTGTTGACCGAGGCCCTGCACTGTGGTGGATTCGCAGAACCGCGTCATCATTACTGGCCGAATGTGGTCCGAAGCCGCGCCGCGCCGCCGCCATGGCCGCCCACGTCTGTAACGGCGTTGGAGGGCGACGCGGCGGCGGGTGGCGGGTTCGGCACGGTTCGGTTCGGGCAGGCCGGCCGAGCTAGACTCATGTCGCGCGGGCACCGCGGGGAGCGGCTGCGCGGCTGCAGCAGTAAGCCCATCTGTATTTGGGCCGTCTTGGCGGGGCCGCGGCGCGCACAGCCGTACTCGTCGCCTTGTACGGCGAGCCCAGGCCAGCCCGGGCAGGCCAGCACGCCCCGCGCACGCCGCAGCTGTCGCGCAGTGTCGTGCCGCCGTGCGTTATTTAGGCTCGGATAAAGGGTCGGCTTGAGTCAGCTCAGGGGATTATTATTGGTTCGAGAATGCAGCGCCCGGCAGCGCCGCTACCCGTCGGTATCGAACGTCTGGCCGTGCGTCGCCTCTCATTCCGAGAGTTTGTTTTCGTCGCTCTGCCTCTCTCGCACTCACGGCGCATCGTGCAGGTGTGAGAGAGACAGAGCGACGAAAACCGGCTCTCGGGATCCGTCTGCCGGGCGCGTATCGAACGCGTCGCGAAGCAGCAAGTGTGTCCAGGAGGGGCCAGGACGCCTTGTAACAGTAATGAATAATAGCGCGCTTGTTGTACGCTCAACACATGGCGACGCGCGCATGCATCGCATGCATCGCCCGCACCGCCCGTCTGCGAATGCAACGGAAACCGTTCGCTGCATCTGGTTTCTTCAGTCGATCGGCCCCGCTCTCTTGGAGGCGCGAAACGTCATCGACTCGTCGCTTTGGTCGCCCCGTTTCTCTCGCACTCGCGGGACGTTCCGTACGGGTGCGAGAGAGACAGTGCAACGGCGGCGGCAGCACTGCAAGGCACAGGGGTGGCGGCAGCTCACGCCCCACACCCGTCGAAACGCCAAACGCGTTCCCGATACCCGCCGACCGGTCTGTCTCTCTCGCGCTCACGTAGCGTCCCGCCAGGACGGCGCGACGAAAGCATCGTTCAGAATCAGCCTGTCGGGTAGCCGCCGGCACAGGCAAAGGCCTGCTAAGCCTAGGCGGGAAACCCTTCTGCCTCCGAGGCCGCCCTGCCGCCCTAGGCCGCCACCCCCGCGCCGCGCCACGCCACGCCGCGCGCCCTGGCGGCGCACTGTGCCGACCGTGCGCTGCACAAGATGGCCCCTCGCTACTTACATGCTTTATGAGAGCCGACTGGAATGGCGGGTAGGGTGTAGGGTATGCGGTGGAGGGGCGGCGCCCAGCGCGCCAGCGCCCAGCCCGGCAGCCCGGCCGGCCTGGTTGGCCTCGCGCGGGTAGGCCGGCCCGCCCGGCCCGGCCCGACCACGGCCAGCCCGCTTCGCTCCTCCCCGTATTGTTACCCCGTGGCACCGCGAGGCACCCCAGGTACCGCCCCGCCCCGCCCCACGGAGGGCCGACAATAATTCAGACGCGATGAGGAGCTAAATTATGGAGCGGCGTGGAAGACGGAAAACCGGAAATTGACAAACTCGTTGCCCCGGAAACGCACGCGTGTAATTCGCGCGGCCCGCTGCCGTCGGCTGCCGTGAGGGAGCGGCCCAGGCGACGACTGCGCGATTTTTCATCCTCGCGCGCCGGAGCCTCGCGCGAAGACGGAGCGCACCGCCGGACGAAGCAACAACAACAGCAACAACAACAACAACCCCCTTCGTATCGCCGGGATAAATAATGGCAAACGAAATGCCCCGTAATGAAGCAAAGCCAAACATCGCGGCGGAAAAGCCTCCGCTGCAGCCCCGCAGCCAGGCAGGCAGCCCGCAACTCAAAAGTGCAATACAAAGTTCGAAACGCGCGCTCGCTCGCCGACTTGGCGAGGCCGGGCTCTCGCTATATAAAGCAAAATAACACGAGATTATATGGACGACACGCCCGGCGGCCGCCCGGCCGGCACAAATTTACTCGGCCGCCGCATATAAGATCCCCGGCGCGGATAAGACAGGCGAGGAACAAAACCGAGAGCCGAGCCGCGCCGGGAAAACTAGACGACGCCACGCCGGAAACGGTATATATGTGTGTGCTGCTGCACTTTGTCAGGAATCGCGGTTCTAAATTACCGTATGAAATACGACGGGGGCCCTACGTGTGAGGGCGGGGCGGGGCGGGCGGGGCGGGGCGGGGCGGGCGGGGCGGGGCGGACGAGTCCGAGGGAGGGCAGTGCAGGACGGCGAGGCCCGCCGCTGCAGCAGCCACGCGCCTGTGGAGCGAGGCATAGGCAGCCCGCGCTGCAGGCGGACAGACAGACAGACAGGCAGACGGACGGACGGACAGGACAGACAGACAGACAGACAGACAGGCCGAGAAGAGGCTCTCGGCATGATCGTCCCTGTGCCATTCACGTTCACGTTTAACGGCACACGACGAGGCAGTCACACACTGTGAGTGAGACGAGGACAGCGGACTGATTCCGAGAGTCGTTTTCGTCGCGCCGTCTCTCTGGCGCTCGCGTCGCGTCGCGCCCGGGTGCGAGAGAGACAGCGCGGCGAAAACGACTCTCGGAGTCAGTCTGCAGCGACAGTGACAAAGGCAGGGGGTTGGACAGAGCACAGGGACCGGGCCTAGGGCCCACGAGGGGGAGGGAGCGCAGCAGCGAAATATCAGAAAGGATGCCATATCCGTTATCTATGAGTAATGTTCCTCGAAACAGTCATTAGCTCGCCGCTGCAGTTACGGTACCACACCGTCGTTGCACCTTCAAACCCCTACACCATCAAAAAATGAGGGAGTGAGAATGCGTCGCTACTTCCCGACGCACTTGGCGGCCTAGAACAGCCACTGCCGCTGCTGGCGAAGCTGGCCGCGTGCGGATGACGCACTACTCGTTTTCGAAATTCGCGCGCACTGCCCCACGTCCGGTTTTTCGTTCCTCTCTTTTATTTTTTTGCTTTACGGGTCTTTCATTAGTGCCCCGCGGTGCGCAAATGTGGTTCGTGTCCAGTAATCTTGGCGTAGTTCTGCGAAGGCAGATAAAAACGGGGGGGCTCCACCGCGGCACCGCGGCCTGCCCTGTTTAGAACCAAACGCACGCAGGGAAGTGCGCGTGCGTGCGAATGTGTGTGTGTGAGCCGGTGCATTTCACAGCCTCTGCGCCTCCTCAGCCCTAATTATTGTCATTAGGGCGTCACTTTATGGAAAGGGGGAGTCGCCTACGATTGCCGCCGCGGCTCACGCCAACGCCATCCCCCAATTCTCGACGAAACCTCCTAGAACAGTAGAAAGAGAGAGATAGAGAGAGAGGAGAGAGAGAGATAGAGAGAAGAGAGAGAGAGAGAGAGAGAGAGAGAGAGAGAGAGAGAGAGAGAGAGAGAGAGAGAGAGAGAGAGAGAGAGAGAGAGAGAGAGAGAGAGAGAGAGAGAGAGAGAAAGGACAGCGCAGCCTGCAACGGGACCGAGGTGACTCGTTTCGGGACGGGCTCCGTGGCATCGACGGCCACGTCGTCGCGCGGCCTCGCGTGGCCTGGTCTGGTGTCTTGGGGAAGTAGACCAAGCAGACCGACGGGCGGCGCCCCGGCCGGTGCGCGGCGTACGGCCGTACGGGCTCGGACGGACGAGCAAGCAAGTTTCGCCATTTGGCCTAAAATGGCCTATTGGCACATCGAAGGCCAGTGCACACACACGCACACACAGTCACACACACACACACTAACGCACACAAGCGCCGCGTCAGGCATTGGCAGCGCCGCCACAAGAGATGCAGCACGCGAAAAAAATCGAGACAACCCCGACGAAAAAAAAAGAGAATCAAAGAAGTGTCTAAAAATTTGTATGAAAATGAGAGCCTGGTACGTACTCTAGCAGCACTAACGCATCGCGCATCGAGAAGAAAGTTTCGCACGGCCGCGCGCATCTCTAGCCGCACGGCCGATGGAGATTATTAGCGACTTGTTCCCACTGCGAGGAAGTACCGCTCGCCGCTCCGCCAAACGGCCCGGCCCGCTTTCACGCAGAAAACTGGACGGGGCGGAAACACAGATTTGGCTTTTCTTTTCCTTTCCGTGAGCGCCGCGACAGTGTCGGGGAAAGTCTGTTCGGGGCAGAGGGCGGCGGACGGATTCGCCATTGCGACATACTGTATGCTAATCCCAGACGAGTTCCCGCCTCGCCCACGCAAGATTCGCGAGGACAGACAATGCTCGGCGATTTCTAATTAACGACGCGCTATTTGAGGACGAGGAAAGTGCTTTCGTTCCAAGTTTCATGCAGCTGCTGGCGAAGACATGCGATCCGGACGGCCCTGAATTCGCCTGATAAGGAATCCCGCTAGTGTGAACGATCTAGCCGCGACCCCGGGGCCCAAGGCGGCCCAAGACGGCGCGGAAAATATGGCGACGGCCGTCGGCTAGGTGCGAAGGCCGCCGTCGTGGCGATAGGGGCTCGGCGAGGGGCTCGAGCAGCACTAGGCCGGCCAGGCCGGGACGCCAGTCCAGGGGCCAAAAGAAAGAAGCACTCGATTTAAAATAGACCAGTGGCCGCGCTAGAACCCATGGGGCCATGATTGCGATTGGTCTACGATATGGTCCTTGAGTGCGCCTAGCCGCCTAGCCGAGCGGCCATGCAGCCAGTGTACAAGTCGGACGCGACATCAGACCTAGATTCCGCAACAGTCCGAGGCTGACACGAATATTCCGTAAAAATTGCCCGTTTTGGATAAGAGTCATGCCTCCGTCGCGATAAGTGCTGACCCTAGGCACTCGGTTCATGATTAGTGACCTACATTATCGTGACACCAGCCACCCCGACAGCCGCCAGGCCAGGCCGCCAGGCCGCCAGTCGGCAGGGACGGCAAAAAGTCCCTTCGTTTCGGATGGCGGCGAGGCCGGCCGGCGGGGCGACGCGACGCGCACTTGTTTTATTTTCGAGGCGAGCAGGCCACCCGGCCAGCCGACCAGCGCACCCGGCGGTGGCGAAATCACGACAAAAGTGCAGGATGCGCGCACACACACACACAACCACACTCAGTCACTCTCACACGCGCGGGCACTACCCGAAGCCGAAGTGTGTGCCAACCCCGAGCCGAGGCCATTCACAAACTAGACTTTGGCCCAATAAACAGTGGCCGTCGCCGACGTGCCAAAGCGACCCGGTCGTCGTCGTGGCCGCGGACACGCGCGCGCCGCGGTGACTTGGCGCCGCTTCGCGCGCTGCAGCACAACAAGGAGGCCGTGAGTCACGCCACGGCCGGTCACGCGGCCGGCTTATCACGCAGTGTCACGCAGTGGCAAGCAGTCGCAGGAAGAGCGGTGTCTGTTTTCAATAAGCATGGTTATTTGGGCGGCGGCGCCTCGGCGCGGAGCGGGGCGGGGCGCGCCACGACTTCGTCATAACAACGATGGCGTCGTCCTGCACTCGACACCGCTCGGGTCCGCGTCAAGCTCCTCGACAAGCTCGTCGTGACCGTGCCGCCTGCGCCGCCTGCGCCGCCGGCCGGGTTTATCGCCGTCCGACTCTATTCGGCGGCCGTGTCGAGTTTTCCAACGCGACACCGCGCTGCGCCGCACCGCGCCGCGCCGCCGGGACGCACGAACGGCACGTCCGAGACCCTAAACGGCGCCGCCGCGTCGCCGCGCCGCCGCGTCCGGCGAATCGGACCTAGACAACGGCGAAGCGGCGCGGCGCGGCCGCCGGCCAGGCAACGCAAGTTGGGGGGTCCTGGCGCGCTGCCCGGTCGCAGCGCCGCGCCGCGCCGTCCGTACCCCCGCCGGGGCCACCTGTTATAACCCAGGGGGCGTGCCGCGGGCCCCGTCGTCGCCCCGCGCGGGGCCGCGGCTCAAAGTCATTGCCACTCACTCACTGCACTGTCACTGCACTGCGCGATGCACCGGTCACTTCGCGTCACTTTGCGTCACTTGCACTTCCACTGTGTCCTCGGCGGGATGGCTTGGAGGGACTCACCTCGGCGCGTTGGCTTGAATCACTGCCCGAGACTACACATGTCAAAACCACGGGCGTGTTTTTCCAGTCCGAGCGTCTACCAGAGGCAGTAGAAGCGTATCCTCACTTGCGGCCGGAAAATTTTTCATCTTTTCATTCTGGTCACTGACAACACCAACCACACACGCCGACGCATTTTCAAAGCACCAGCCGAAAACGGAACTTTTTTAGAGGAAATGCTTGAGGCTTGCTGCACTGTCACTGCACTGGTCACTGCACTGTCACTCCACTGGTCACTGTTCACTGGCGATGCACGTTGCACGTGGTGCAGGCGATGCACATGCACAGGACGAGGCGGCGAGGCGGCGAGGCTTGCACTAGAGTCCCGTCCCGTCCCGCTCACTGGACTCGGCTGCGCTCGGCTCGGCTCGGCTCCCCACTCGCCTCGGCTCGGCTCGGTTCGGCTCGGCGCGTCGCTGCTGCACTGAGCTGCACTCCCTGGCCCACAGCTGATCGCAGACTGCGGAGCGCACTTATCGAAGCAAGTGTGCGCGGGGCGGGGCGGGGCGGGGCGGGGGGTGGAGGCCGGTGGGGCCTGGTGGGGGCACGCACACACAGAGCCCCCGCGCCCGGCCGCCCCGTCCGCCCCGTCCTCGCCGCGCCGCGCTAGCCGCGCCGGCCCTTCCCCGCGACCCGCACGGGGGCGAGGCGATGCGCGGGGCGCGGCGGAGCGACGGAGCGGCGCAGCGGAGCACGGCGTCAACGGAAACGCGCGGGCCGGCCGCGGCCAGGGCGGCCAGGGCGCGCCCGGACGAGCATCACTAGAGTATTTTGGCAACAGGTACTGGACACCCACCCCCGCAGAGGCCACACTACAGAGAAAGAAAGAGAGAGACAGAGGAAGGGGAGCCTCAAACGGCGTCGCCGGCGTCAACTCACCTACGACGTAAACCATGTTCTTTGTCCATCGCTGCAGCTCCTTTCTGATTGCCCTGCGCTCTTGTATGCACCGGGCGTGCGAGCATTCCGCCATTTTTGCCTTCAGCCCTTCCACAGCGGCGGCGGCCCTCGTGACGTCATCGGGGCGGTGACGCAACTGTTGCAGCGGCGCAGGCGGCGTAGGGTGGTGGGGGAGCCGAGTGGCTGTTCGGGTGCGCTCGCCGTCCGCGCCGCCGCCACCGCCGCTGCTGCAGCCGTGGTCGTGGCGGTGGTGGAGGTGGTGGTGGTGGCCGCCGCGAGGACGGCGACGCGCGATGCGCCGTGGCGGCCCAGCCCGATGCACAGGCGGCACCGGCCCCGCTGCAACGCAGGCCTAAGCCCCGGCAAGGTCTTGCAGGGACCGCGGACGCCGCGGACGCCGGCCAGCACGGACAGGCCGTGCCTGGGCAGCCTGGGCAGCCTGGGCCAGGCGGCCGCGGGGCGGAAGGGCAGGGCGGGCCGGGCCGGGCGGCAGGCCAGCTCCGCGCTCCGCTCCGCTCCTCGGCTCGGATCGGCTCGGCTCGGCGCGGCACCGTCCGATCTTGTTTTCCGTAGGAAAGGAGGAACACGCCAACACGGCGACTGGTGGGGAGGTCAGAGCGTCAGAGCGCCGCGAGGGGAAGCGGCGATACTCGCTCTGTCTCGCTCCCTTTCTCTCCCACCTCCGCCTTTCTCTCCGTCCGGCGCGTCGCCCTGTCTCTCTCTTTCTCTCTCTCTCCTCCTCCCTCGTCCTCCCCCTGCTCCCCCCGCCCGCCCCGCCGCTACCTCCGCTGCCGCCGCCGTCGTCGCCTCGGCCGGCGAGGGGTGGGGGCTGTGGGGGCTGTGGGGGGTGGGGCCTAGGAGCGCGAAGAAGGAGGAACTCGGGGAAACAAAAAGAAATATCCGGCTGTAATAATCCTTTAGCGTCTGAACCGCCCGAAAAAAGATAATCAATAACAGAAACGGTGAGACGGTGTAGTGGGGGGAGGGGGTTGTCTGCGTTCCGCTGCGTTCTGTGGCTGCGCAGGTCTGCCGGCTGGACAGGCGGGCCGCCGGGGCGCTGGGCTGGGCCCCTCCTTGGGGCAGCGCAAGGCGGCGCGGGGCGGCGGGCGCTCGGCGGGGCGCTAGGCGGGGCCCTGCAGCAGCCGCCACTGGAGGCTCTGGAGACTCTGGAGGCCCGCTGGGCGGCCTGGGCCTGGGCCGGGTCCACGGCCGGGTAGACGTGTCGTCCCTAGATATCCATGGCGACACACACACATACACACTCACACGCACACACACTCACTGCGGCACTCACATCCTGCGCGCGAACGAGGCTTGCGGCTCTTGGAGGTTAGGTCTCGTCGTCGTGAACGCACTCGCAAGTCCACGTCCACGGCGCGACGCACGCGCTATCCGTCCGACCGGTTTGGTCCACTGACCGCACTGCACTGCACTGCACTGTCGAGGCTTTGGCTTCGCGCTTCGCGCTTGGCGTCGAGCGTTCGGCCCGCACCACACCGGCACTGGCCGGCACTGCGGCCCGGCGTGGAGGCGCGGCGCGGCGCGGCGCGCGGGGCTGGACGGAGCCTTGGCGGCCGCCTTGCTTGCGCGGGTTGCGCTCGCTGCCACACAGCGCAGCGCACACAGCTTAAGGCTGTAAGACCATGAAATGCACTGAGTGCAACAGCTCGCCCTGCCCGCCTCGGCCCGGCCCGGCTCGCCTGGCGTGGCGAGTGCAGGCGGTAGGGGCTGCGCCGCTGCGCTCCCCGCCGCACCACCCCCCGCCGCTCGCCCCGCTCCCCCCGCCGCCTCGCTGCCGCTCCTCGCTGCAGTCGGCCCGGCCCGGCCCGGCCCGGCCGCTGGCTGCACCGGCCGCCTGGCTGTCTTAAGGCTGCCGCGCCTCCCCCACCCCACTTACCTTGACACTTTTACGCGGATCGGTCAACTGCTGGAACAATACGCGTAGACGGTGGCGTTTTGCCGCGTTTTGCCGCGTTTTGCCGCGTTTTGCGGGCCGAAGCGACGCCTCGTCGGCGCCGGCCTCGCTGGCGGAGTGGAATGGCTTCATCGCCGCCCTCGTCTGTTTCGCCAGGACCGCAGCGCAGCCTCGACGCGTTCCTGGAGCGATTTGGCGGCGTCGCGGCGTCGCGGCGTCGGCACACTAGAAGTGCAGAAGCGCGCCGAGTCTTAAATCCACGGCGAGGACGTGTTTTTTGCCGTTCGGCGCGACTCTGGCGTCGGCGGGCTGGTCCGCTATCAAAGCGAGTCTTCTGCGTATTTTTATTTTATTTTGTTCCGGTTCGGTGCAGGCAGGCGCTCCGGGACTCCGCGCCGCACTAATTCGATTCTTGTTGACTCGCAGGCCCGGCCTGGCCCGGCCCGGGCGGCGCGGCGTCACCGCTCAAAACCGTTTTCGCGCCACTTTTACCCATTTGTGGAGCCACTCGGGGGAGAAAAATGAACGGCACGGTTGTTTGAACCCGGGACACTTCCCTTTCCTTTCCCTTCGCCGGCCGCGCTGGCCGCCACCGCCGCCTCTATGTGCCCGCCGCGCTAACGCTAACAATAATTAGACTTGTGATCGTGATGCCATTAGACGCGACGACGGCCCCTCCGTAAACTGCCCCCCTCCCCTTCCCCCTCCCCCTTCCTGCCCAAGACGGCCGAGACCAGGTTAAAGCGGGACCGGCTCGGCTCCACTCAATGTCGCCGACATCTATTTCTGGTTTGATGACGATTTTTCCCGGCTGCCGTTCCAGAGTTCCAGCGAGCGCAGAGCAAGCCTCTCCGCGACACCTTCGCAATCGCGCTATGTCTCGTTTTTCGCGGTGTACACACCAGGAGTTTATGCGAGGGCAACTTTCAAACAAGGCAACACAACAGCCTCATTCTTTTTTGCGTGTTTGTGTTTGATGTCGGTGTTTTTTTCTTTTTTCTCGCTTCCCTTGCGATGTTTGATTGACTGGCCATACAGCAGCGCGCGCTCTGCCCCGCCGCGGCGCGCCGGCCCTACGCCAAGCGGGGCAAAGCGAAGCCTCGGCAGATAAGGCGGGAGGTCCTCGCGAAATTAGCAGAAATATAAGCGAAATGTGTGTCGAGGAGCTCCGTTCCGCGTTGCGGCGGCATTATCTGCAGGTGATAATGATTTTTATTCGCACGATAGCGAGACCCCGTTCCGGTTATCTGCCATCGCGCCGCCGGGGCGGGGCGAGGTGGGGTGGGGCGGGTTGGGGCCTGCGAGGATACTTGGCGACAGGGGACTTGCCGTAATTGAAGTTTTCGAAACGGAAGAAATTTACTTCCCTACACTACTGCTGCCATGACGCTATTTTGCGGAGCCAGTAAGTGGCTCTCGGATTTAAGGACGGTCCCCGCGGTGCATCGGCAGGCCGGCCTGTCGGTCAAGGGCACCTCCTGCAGGCTGCACGTCTCGGCGCTGGCCAGGCGTGGCGCGGCGTGGCGTGGCGTGGCGTGGCGTGGCGTGGCGTGGCGTGGCGTGGCGTGGCGGGCGTGGCGTGGCGTGGCGCGGCGCCCGGCGGCTGCAGCGGGCCCGGGCGGGCGGTGCGCGGCGCGCGGGCCGGAGCGCCCTGCTGGCTAGGCAACACGAACACACGCGTGTCCGCCGGGCGGGCCCAGGGCCGCCTGCTGCGTTTTGGGAGTTGGCCCACCCCGACCTACGCCACGCCGCGCTGCCGCCATGCCGCGCTGCGCTACGCAAGCGGAGCCGGGCCCGGCCGGGCCCTGCCGCACCGCGCAGCCCAGCCGTCTGATCCCGAGCACTGCTTTCGTCGCTCTGTCTCTCTCGCACTCATGGGGCGGTCCGTAGGGGTGCGAGAGAGACAGAGCGACGAAGCAGTGTTCGGAATCAGACGGCAGGCCACTCGACGCGCCGCCCGGCGAGTTAGTTGACGGTGTAGCTCTATCCCCATCCACTTACTATTTTTATTATTTTCGTTTCGATGCAGGAGCCCCGCAGAAGTTAAACTTTCAAACGCGCGCTCCAACCCTGCTCCCGATTTCCGCTCTTAATGACATGGGCCTTTACAGCCTCCGGCCGCTCCGCCGCCGCTCCAGTCGAGCGTGCGAATTTCGATCTCTTCGCGGGTGAGGCGAATCGTCTAGCCGGATTGTAGGCAGTAATTTATAGGTCACACACACACACACACACACACACACACACACACAGCACGCACGCACGCACGCACGCACAGGGCCACAGCGATCCAGCTGCCACGCCGGCGAGGAACATCTCATTCGGACGGTAGCGGTGCAGCCAATCAGCTCGTCGCGGAGCACACCAAGTGCCTGCCGGTGGACCAGCGACTCGCGCGCCTTCCTGAGCTGGCCCATAAATTTCGCGTCCATACGAGGCGAGGCGAGGCGAGGCGAGGCGGTCTAGGCACTGCAGGCACCCCGTTCGGCGCGGCGCGGGGCTGCCGGACTGTTAAGGCCAACGTTTACTGGCCATTGATTAAGGTGTGCTTCATGAGGCGGGTGACGGACGGTGGGAATGCCGAATCACGCGTGCACTCTGCGAGTCGGAGAAGGAACACACACTGCTAGGGCTTGTCGCCGCGGGCAGATGATCGCTCTGCTTGTCCCTCCTCGGCCAGACAAATTCGATCACGTTACGCCGTGCGCCAATCGCGCCGTATCAAGGATGTCATTTTTTCGGTGCAGCGACCTCGTAAGCTGATACCGCGATAAACTCGGCCGGCGCACAGACGTGACGAGGAGGAGGAGGAGGAGGAGGGGGAGGGGAAATGCGTCAGGAAACTCGCTCTTGGTCGCCTCTTTCAGTGGGGCACTCCTCGCCAGCCGTCACGTTCCAAAATCAGCCAACCCAACGTTTCCATCGTTTTCGTATTTCCTGTCCGCGAACATTGGTCCGTCTGCTTGATTTTTCTTTTTCGCCGACCCTGTTTTCCCACTGGCCCTGCACTGCGAGGCGCTCTCGGGCGGGATTCCAGGAGGTACACTGCCGCCACCGCGTTGCACCGCGTTGCACCGCGTTGCACTGCGTGCGGCTGGTGCGACCGCGCACCGCGATGCGTTCCCAAAGGACGGCGGCGGCAGAGAAATCGAGGCGAGTGAGACGTTCGGTTCGGATTCGGAGAAAAGATGGCGGCCTGTTCGGCAAGGCGCGGCAAGGCGAGGCGCTCCCCTAAAACAAGCGACGGGCCGTGGAGGGCTGAGGCCACGCCG